CTTCACCCAGCACCACTGCTCCCCAAGCCCGCAGGTGAGGTGCCAGGGTGTCCCTGCACCCCACAGGGTAGCTGGGCTGTGCCCCCCCGCCCCCCGGCACTGGGTTGCTCCAAGGGTTGGGGGACATGCAGACCCCTCTGGGGATGTCTCCTGCTCAGCCCTGAGGACATGGCAGGGCCCCAGGTTGGCCACGGCTCCTTTCCCTCCTTGCCACGGGACTGGTGTGTCCCCATCCTGAGAACTTCCCCCCAAAAAACACCCTGCCCCATGCAGCAGCTGCCCCAGAACAAATTGCAAGCGGCCGAGAGCAAAGTCAAGGCTTGAAAAATCAACCCCGGGCACTTCCAGGACTCACAAGAGCCAAACGATGGACATCGACTCTCTGTCTTTTTCAGGGGGGGCCCAAAACAAGCAGCCAGGGCACCCAGCACGGAGCAGGGGTCTCCTCAGCTTGCCTGCCCGTTGCTGGCACAGCCCAGACTTGGCGGGGGGGGGGATATTTTGCAGGGAAGCAGCAGTAGCAGGTGCTCCCCAGCCCTGCCAGCTCCAGAGCAACCTGATGCCCAAGTCGTTTGGGTTCATGCGGGGGCTAAATTTAAACCTTGGCAAAGAAAAGGAGGGAGAGGAAAGCTTTCCTGATAGCTGGGCTGGCTGCTTAACCCTTTGCTGCTGAGCAGATGGCACCTTGCATGTGGCATTTGTGGCCACGGGGAGTGGAGGAGACCTGGGGAGCAGAAGAGACCTGCTCTGGGCAGCACTTCCCAGCCCTGTGGCCTTGTGCAAGAGTCTGTGTGTGGGATTTCAAATCCCCAACTCCCTGCAGGATTTGCAGGGAGGCAGTGGAATGCAGCTGCCAGTGGAGGAACTCCTTGTGCCACCTGGACGGCATGATCCACCCCAAAACCTTGGGCTGCTGCTTGGGTGCTGCAGCCACCCTACGGTCCCCACACGAGGAGGGGGGCTGGCCAGGGGTGTCCCCAGGCCTGGTGACATGGCAGCCTGGTGGGCACCTGCTGAATCCCAGCCAGGAGCACTGCAGGGACATCAGACATGCACAGCCCCAGCCTGCACTGGATTTGCAGTGCCAAGGGGGATGTTCAGACCCACAAAGGGAAGGGTGTGCAGTTCCTGAGGTGGCTCCTCAATCCCTGGCCAGTCCAGAACCCAGAGAGATTGTGTTCTATTCCTTCTGCTCCACTGAGGGTCAGGTCCAGGGTCCCATGGCCACTGGGAGTTGGTGGGAAAGGGAGGTAGGTCCAGCCCAGGGTTATGATGCCCAGATGAGGTGCCCTGCTGGTGCTCTTTGGTGCATCCAGGTGAAAGACAACACTAACCAAACTCTGACTTCAACTAGTTCACTGCTTGTAGGATGTAAATCTCTCATCTGAGCCTACTGCTAGTGAGTTGTAGAAGCCTTTTGTGTGAGCTTCTCTGTAGTTTTAGGGAAGAAATACAAGGGTCCTTGAAGAAAGAAGCCATTCAACTGCAACTAGGGATGCTGCTGGAACCAGTTCTACTGGGGAGAGAGCAGAGATAAACCTGAGAGAACTTGGCCAGAGGTTCCTGTGAGGAAGACTCAAGGATAAAGTAAATGACTCCCCCAGGAGACCCTAATGGACTTAACACATGCAATAATGGGCAGACACTTATGTAAATGATTTATTGGGAAACTAATGAATATGTGAACTGTTTCTTAGAAATATTACACATAATTAAGTGTCAGCTGTATATATATATATTTATATATATATACATATGGAGGAGCTACTCCTGTGCTCCATGATTAAAGAATACTGACTGAAGAACTGGGGAAACTTCCTGTTTCCCAGGGCACCATTATTGAGGGCAAGGGGAAAGGGCAGAGGAGGCCCAAGGGGCCCTGTGGGCTGTGGGAGCTGGTGAAGCTCTGGATAAGGTAATCAACCTGCTAGGAGGATCACTGCAGCTCTCTCATGAAGGGAAAGGTTCTTGCTCTCCTGCCTGCAGGTCCTGCTGTCCTGGCATGGGGTGTGAGGCAGATTTAGGGCAATGACTCGCATCAGGGCTTTAAACCTTTCCCCTGCCTTGTCCTCAGCACTGGCACTGGGCACAGCTCTTGCTGCATCTTTTGACACCCGGGTCCTGCCAAAACCGAAATTGGGCAGAGTGTCAACAGCTGCAACAAGTACTGGAGGCTGCGAAGGTGGCTGGAAAGCACAGACACATCCCAGCCATTCCTCCCCTTCCCCAACACCCTGGAACACCCCCTGCTCCACCGGGCCAGCTGCACGGGAAAGCACAGCCGGGCTGCAGCAAGCACTGCCGGCCTGGCTGGCTCCTTCCAACAGCCCCCGGGCTGCCACCAACAACCGGTCTGGGTGTGTTGCTGAGGCAGAGGGAGCTGAGCTGGGCAGCTCCAGCTTACCGCCCTGCATGCAGCCTGAGGCCGCTGGGAACCTGCTGGGCTGCATCCCCTCCTCCTGTACCTGGGCTGCATCCCCTCCTCCTGTACCTGGGCTGCATCCCCTCCTCCTGTACCTGGGCTGCATCCCCTCCTCCTGTACCTGGGCTGCATCCCCTCCTCCTGTACCTGGGCTGCATCCCCTCCTCCTGTACCTGGGCTGCATCCCCTCCTCCTGTACCTGGGCTGCATCCCCTCCTCCTGTACCTGGGCTGCATCCCCTCCTCCTGTACCTGGGCTGCATCCCCTCCTCCTGTACCTGGGCTGAATCCCCTCCTCCTGTACCTGGGCTGCATCCCCTCCTCCTGTACCTGGGCTGAATCCCCTCCTCCTGTACCTGGGCTGCATTCCCTCCTCCTGTACCTGGGCTGCATCCCCTCCTCCTGTACCTGGGCTGAATCCCCTCCTCCTGGGTAGGACTCCCAGTCTCAGCACAGCACAGAGGGAGCAGGGCATGGTGGAGGGTCCTGGTTACCAACCAACCCCCCACCACGGCAGGTGAGGAGGTGCAAACCTGTCCCGCAGCCCCCGCAGCTGCTCAGGGGGGGGGTGGGCTCAGCCTGTGAGGCACAACCATAGGAGAGAGCCACGGGTGGACCCAGGCTGAGCCAGGCTTGGCAGTGAAACACTGACCCTTGGGTGCTGAGGACTCACCCTGCGCTGAGGAAGCTGCTGTCGGTGCCAGGGGCAGGCAGGGGAGGAGACGGCCGCACCCCACAGCACAGAGGCCTCTTGCAACTCCAGAGGAGCCAGAAACACCGGCCCAGCTTGGGAGGGGCTTTCCAAGCCACCTCCGGGGTTTGGCAGGGAACCCGGCCACCAAAACAAAACAAACCGGGAGTGCTCGGGGACCCGGGGGTGGGAGCTGTGAGTGGGGGGGGTTGTTGTAAAACGACCGACCTCCTGGGCTGGGCAAGGGCTACCAGGGCACGGGCCGTGTTGGCAGCCCATGGGCAGGGGCTGGTGCTCGAGACA